TTAATGCTCCATCAGTGGTTTTCGATTTTATACCAACCTTTACTTCTACGTTGGTGATATAGTGTGATATCCTTACTGGGCTAGTGTAGCTCATCTTTATTCTAACCATTTTCAGATCAAGAGGAACAGGTTCCAGAGCCCGATCCGCAAGAAGATTGCAAGTAGATGCTAAATATTTTCTATTTACCATTTTATTTCCTTATTCTTATGTTTTTTTCAAGGATGAATTCCATAATGCTGTTTAGTAATTTTAGTTATTATGTAAGAAATGTAAACTTTAACCTTTTATTTCGCTTCTGCACTTAAATTATTATATATTTCTTTTGGAGATTTCTGGGGTCGTTACACTGGGTACATAGGGAACCCTACTGTGGATGTTGCCTCATACTGAATGGGGTATCGAGGATTGGTATTTTATCACTTATATTGGACGGGGTATGAGGAGGCCCGTTTCACCCTCATACCGGACATGGTATTGAGGGATGATATTTTTTTGCGCTCATACCGAACGGAGTATGGGAACGACCCGTTAGTTGAAAATATTGAATAAAGGTTCACCCATAGTGGAGACATTCTTATGGACCCCAATAGATACCAATAGGCTGATAAAAGAGAAAGTTGTTGTTCTGACTAATTGAATATGAGATTGTGATATTGTTTATGTTATTGTCTCTATAGGTTAGTTTTGGAAATCTTGCTACGGTAAGTATGCAGTAAATGATTTTATTTATGATAAACGAATTTACTTAAATTAAAGCTCCATTAGTTATTTTTATTATTTCTACCAACCTTTATATCTGTATTGGTGAGTAGTGTGATATTCTTACTGGGTTAGTATAACTCACTCTTTCATTAGCTATTTCAAATCAAGAGGACCAAGATCTAGAGTCCAATCCACAATAAGGTTGCGAATAGGATGCCCAATTATTTATTTTTCATTTATTTCTTTGATTTTTCGTTATTTCTTTTAAAATGGTCATTCCCATAGCCCTATTGGGTAATCTGAATTATTGTGTAAGGAATATAAACTTTAACTTTATTGTTTCGCTTTCGCATTCAATTTATAATTTATCTCCTTTTAAGTTCTGGGTCGTTTCACTGTTGGTATCTACATGGTAGAGGGGATTCGTTCTGCCATCGATGATATCAGCAGAAATGACATCACGCGATCAAACTTAAAAGATGAAGTGATAAAAATAATCAACAGTAGTGATATTGTTAAATAAGATGAAACCATTCTCAATAGGACGTAAACTAATAGGAATAAACCTAAATTTATGTGTAAAGCTTGTGATACTATAATACTGAACTGTTTATCTGACATTGAATTCTGATGTTTACTAAATTGTTTATACTGAATCCTAATGTTTACTCAGTAAACTGATTTATAAGGTTTAGTGAATGAATTAGAGTGTAGATATCACATTTTTTCTAAACTAAAGAGAATAGTGTTTTAAACTCTCTCTGTCGGTAGTTTTATATTTTCTACCAACTTAGATTGATTACTCTATTATTTGTGGTACTTACACGCTTACTGAGTATATTAAGTTCACTTTATTTATTATTCTTTTTTTTTTCAGATCAGGATATTAAAAATTTTATCTCTGAATAATGAGATACTTGCTAGAAGATCGTTTAATTTTTATTTTATTTCGAATAAGTACTTAATGTTAATTATTTTGTTTGTAGTAAATATTTATTTTAGAGTTTAAACATGTCTCATGAATATTAAATACGTTGAACTAAGTATGTAAGGGATGTATTTTTATTATTTTAAAATTTGCTGCGCGAAGTAGTTTTATTGATTATTTTATCATAACATTATGGGCGTGCAGTCAGAATTCTCGATGAGAATTTGGGTTATTACACATGCAATGTGAAATCATGTGCATATAAATGCATGATAAGAAAAATACATATATTATATAAATATAAAAATTTAGATATTGATAATAATTTAGACTTCAAAAGTTTAGTAGTGTGAAACTTTGAATTTAAATTTTTTAAAATGATTAAAACATTGATTTAGTTACAGCCTCGTTTTTTTTAACGGCGTAGTCTCAACCAGCTCAATGACCAAATACTAAAAAACTCACTCCAAATCAGTCGCACACATAGAAAAAAAATTACCACAATCTATTGTGTCAAATATAAACCTTCAACCATAAATATGACATTACAGTGAAATACAACCTCATACATCCCCAGTAGACACACAAACCTACATTACTACTAACTTTTTACACACTCAATTTTACTAGTAGAAATTCTTACACTGTTGCTCTGTACGCTAGGCTCGGAAACCGGCAACTCCGATCCCGACTCCATCCCTACTTCATCTGTGAATAATAAAGAGTGAGCACATATAACTCAGTACAGTAAAAAATTAAATTACAAGTATCATATGCAAACTAAATTTAAAACTCCATTTTTATATGTTTTCCATTTCCGTAGCCTAAGGTCACACTTTCTTACTACTATTTAATTACACAAGGATTAATACATATCCCCCA